ATTTCTTTAAAAACTAACATAACAGTAATTTAAAAATACTTTTTATTTAAGTTAACAATATTTTCATGAGATAAAAAATCTCTGGTCATATACAGAAATCTGAAACAAAAGTACGATTCCAAATTATGTAAGTTCAGTGCACAGACACATGTTCTAAATTAAGGATATTTGCATTTATAAAAGAAGAAAACAGGACACGTGAAGAAACTATGTATATACAGTGGAACCTAGCTTAACAAGCATAATTCGTTCCAGAATCTTACCCGTAATGCAAAACAATTTTTCCCATATAAATTAATGTAAAATATGATAATGCATTCCATGCCGAAAAAAAATACTCAAAAAATTTTATGTATAACGTTTATTCAAAGAAAATTATATATACATTGTTAAGGAGTGTGAATCCTCTTCATCTTTTCTTCTATGTGGAATGAACCAACCTGGAATGCGAATTCGATTTGCAGAAAAAAAATTGAAATAATTAGTTTATTATTTATGATACATATCTAATTCTTTTTTACTAGAAAGCTGTCTAGAGACATTTGTTTTTGCTGACGCTTCAAAATTTGGTGAAAATATGACACAGCATTATCAATAAATAAATCTGTAGCGCGCATAGCCACTGCCTTATTAGGGTGATGCTTCTCAATGTACGATGCAGCAGTTTCCCATGCTTTCAGCATCTCTTATTGTGCCAGAAGATTGTTGCTTTGCTGTTACCTCCTCTTCCTCCTCCTCCTCCTCTGACAAACTCTCCTCCACAACTTCTTGCTGTGAAATACAATGCAACTCCAAATCGTGCAAATCGTTGATGTAGACCAATTGCATGTGTGTGCTAGATCAGCCATGCTCACACCCCGTTCTCGCTTTTCAATGAATTTACGTTTCATTTCTACGGTTATTTTTATTCTCTCATGGCTGTCTTTTTGCAGCTTTTTCTTCAGGGACATTTTTGCAAGGGCTATTAAATTTTGCACAAAAAAAGAATCACAAATAATATATCTGAACAAAAGTTTGGAAAAATGTGTGATCACAAGCGACACTAAGATGCTAGCGGAACGAGTGCTAAACACAGACTGATGTAGCAAGCGCACAATCCGGGACTTCCCCTCTCGTCACACATTATGCGAAACGTCGCTCGTTAAGCGAGGTTCCACTGTAATACATATTTGGATAGGAGAGAGAGGAAGGAGCATTCATCAGAGGATGGGCACACAAGGATACAGGCAGAATAGCATTCAGTATTTCATCCAGATCATAAATTTTTCTGTTCAACAGATGATGGGAAGGGCTTAAGAAACACGAAGAAGTAGGGAGGGGGGGAATGAAATGACATGCTAGCATCATTAATATTATTATGGATACATTAAGAAACTTAGATCTACACGACAGCTGGTATACAATTATTTTTGTGTCTGCAGACTATTTCTTTCAGATAGAATATGTCTGTAATTAGCTGTAAGTTGTACAAAGTATTAACTAAATTAAATTAGCATTGTTATCGCACAGGTGGGAATCTTGGTTTACAGTTTTGTTATCAGAATAAGGATAGTTGCTAGACTAAACCATAATACCAATCATGGTAATACAAATTACTTTTATACTTGTTTGTGGAAATCAGAGCAGTCTTTTTTTTAATCATTCCCATCTTTTCTTTAAATAAGAAACCTACATGCCTGAACAACAAGACTTCAATCACATTACACATGAGCCACTACAACTTATCATATAGTATGGACCAATATCCCACAATCCTAGCCAGTCTTACTCCAGTGCAGTACTAAGAGTAGACAAACTACAAAAACGTGGGTAAGATAACCTCAAAGTGTCATCATGAGTAACATGTAGAGTGCAACTGCACTTAGTAATAAATTGGTCATAACACAACATAATGGCAAAAGCAATTTATAAGAACAAAAATATTGTACTCTGTTGAAGAATGCTCAAGGTTAATGACTAGAACAGTTTCAACACTTAAACTGCAGTTTACAGACTGTCTAGATGTTAAACAGTACAATTCAACCCCTATGTAGTTCTGTTAGTTACCAATACTGTGCCATATGCATATGATATATAGGATCTGACATTCTCATGGCAGTTATTATTACAATTACAGTTTTCTGGAATATAATGCTGTACAGTCTGCTGGTACCTATCAACCAGACTGCACAGTGTCACATCCCAGAAGACTGTGATCTTGTAACAGGAAACCGTTTTTACACAAGGAATTCCAGTAGGGAACAGAAGGCCATAGAAGGTACCTATATGGTTTAATATTTTATATCCTTCAATTTCGACGATGTTAGATTATTCTTCAGAGGGGGAATATAAATAATACAAAATACTGTATAACCTTCAACATACTAAGAATTTCAAGCACACAGTTATCAATATTGTACCAAAATGAGAGTGAAAAAGATGGGGAGGGGAACTGAATTTCCACCAGTACTTCATATTTCTTAAGAAGTTACCTGCATTAAACATTTCCTCTTACAAAAACTCGATATTTTGCCCGCTCTTTCTAAGAGCTGTCTTTCTGAGAAGACCTTATTTCAATAATTGTTCTGTTATGTGAAACCCATTATGCTCATTCCAATTTTATTCTGAATGCTTCAGAATTTGAAATAACTTCAAACAAAATACTTACATTGCATTTATTACTATTTCAGTGGTCCAGAGTCATAAAAAAATTAGATAAAAAACAAGATGATGAAACCTGATGAGGACTTCAATATGATTACAAATCAGAAAATTTGTTGCTATTTACGAAGGCAAGACAACAAGCAAATATCCATGAAAACGCTACACTTTGTATCTCCTACAGAAAAACTCTGTTTCTGAGTGAGTGACGAGACATATTTAACGGAGCTGTTGACATTATATCAAAATGAAGATCGTAACGCTGACAATAAAATATACTATCTTGTATGGTATTTTGTCATAGATGTTGAATGGAAAGAAGTGGCTACACTGGTATTAACAGAAAGAGTTACAGATTGTAAGATACAACTCCTGAACTTTAAAACCTTATTGTCTGAAAAACACAAATTCTTAATCATAATTATAAAAGATAATACAATTGTGTCCAGTGTGACTGGTGAAGTTTTTTCTTATTTCAATTCTTCATGCCCTTACATGTTTCGGTCCTTAGAGATCATCATCAGAGGGACACTGACACAGTTTGGAAACCACTATTACAATGGATGTTCTGAATGTTAAAATATATATACATACAATGTGGACAATACACAAATGGATACAAAATTCAGAGTTTTCAAAACTACAGTGGCTGTTTTGATATATTAAAAGTTTTTTAAACTTTTGTTATTTAAGTTAGAATTTATAAACCAAATAGGTTTGTGTCCTCTCTCTTATCACCTCTCTTGACAGGGGACAAACTTGTGCCGCCTGTCTTTCTTGAGAAACTTCTTTGATGATGTCCTGTGGTTGTTGGTGTCACGTTTTGTTGTTTTTACTAAAATTTACTTCTTCTCAAGAAAGACAGGTGGCACAAGTTCAGCCCCTGTCAAGAGAGGTGATAAGAGAGAGTACACAAACCTATTTGGTTTATAAATTCTAACTTAAATAACAAAAGTTTAAAAAACTTTTAATATATCAAGACAGCCACCGTAGTTGTGAAAACGTTGGATTTTGTATCCATTTGTGTATTGTCAACATTGTATGTATATATATTTTAACACTTTGCAGACCGGTGGCATATTTTTATGCCCAGCGCTTTTAAACGTGGCGGACTGGTGGCATATTATTATGATTTTAGGACACGTTAGATTGTAACACACTATACCTTTCTCTGGCACCACCCAAATGAAATGACTACCGTGTAATATTATTCCGGAATGTTTGCTTAGTAGGCAGTAACTTGATCTTGCTGTTTGGGTTCCCCTCCAAAGGAAAATGATCTTTGACCCTTCAAGCTCTTATGTACCAGGCAGGAAGTCAGTAGTGCAATGAGTCAAGGACAGAAGCGGTTGAAAACCAAGCAATATCTGACTTGTTCTCCGGATGAGCTATCTGACCTGACGTTCCTTCTAAGACGTGTAGTGATAGTGATTCAGACAGTGGCAGTGACAGGGGACAACAAACAATTGTGGCCACAGACAATAAAAGTGAAAGTAGCTCCGACGAAAGTGCAAGTAGTAAAATTGCGGGGACAGCCACATGGGGAAAAGCAGACAAAAGGCCTACTTTGGGACAGTTTACTGGAAATCCAGGGGTGAAACAAATTCCATTGGACCCAACACAAGTTTCTGAAGTAGCAGAACTGTTTTTTGGCGATAGGGATACTCGTGTTGTGAATATGATTTCTACAATTCACAATTCGAGCATGGCTGATGTTCAAAGGACACATGGACAAATAAAGAAGCCTAGTTGTATTTCTGAGTATAATATGTTCATGAAGGGAGTTGACAGAGCCGATCAATATTTGGCCTATTATTCTCTTCCTAGAAAAATAATGACGATGTAAACATAATCCATAACATTACAGTTATGTTCTCTGACGCTATTTGACATGCCTTCTGAGACATGCAGTGATAGTGATTTAGACAGTGGAAGTGACAGGGGACAACAAAGAATTGTGGCCAGACAAAAGTGAAAGTAGCTCTGAGGAAAGCGTAGGGGGACTCTCGGGTGATATGCGGAAACATACCCTCATGAAAATTGTGAAGAGTGAACATTCCAAGGGGAAGCATCCTTATCGGCAGTGCCGTGTTTGCATAGTTCACAAAAAAAGGAGTAGTTCATAAAATTAATTACGAGGTTTTATATTAATTTTTAAAGTGAACAGTGCACAAGTTAGGGTAGTAGGTTTAAAAATGCCGGTCCCCGGGGTGATTTAAATATTTAAATTGCCAGTCCGCAAAGTGTTAACATTCAGAACACCCACTGTAATAGTGGTTTCCAAACTGTATCAATGTCCCTCTGATGATGATCTCTAAGGACCGAAACATGTAAGGGCATGAAAAATTGAAATAAGGAAAACTTCACCAGTCACAGTGGACAGAATTGTTTTATCTTTTATAATATTGTTGGTGTGATGGACCAGAATGAAACAACTCAAATTCTTAATCATAATTTATACAGAGCACACTCCAGTAATTGCGAACATGGCCATAAAAAAGAACAGAATTAGCTCCTGACTGTTTTGTTAAAACAATCAAAGAGAGTTAGTATTACATCTGGGGCGTAAACTGAGCATAATCACTACAAAAAAACTAAAATCAAATGCATATCGCTTATACACACATACACTTCCATCTCAAACGAAACTTTATCTTCATTTACTCCCCTTTGCTACATGTTTCAGCTGTACATGGCCATCAATGGGCAACTGTTTACCTTACTAAAACCATTACACCCTATTTTCCACTGTATTTAAAAAAAAGTTACAAATTAAAATATATCGATGTTCCATTTGTCATCATCTGTTCAAAAAGATATTTGTTTGAGCACTTTACTCATCGTTATGTTTTCTTATATAGTTTTCCTCCTGTGGTGTCAGTGTTTTGTGTATTGTTTACTGTAGTTCTTATGGATGTCACTGTAATGTTATCATCATTGTTAGTATACACGCCATTGGTTTGTATACTTCTAAGGTGTTGAATTAGTTAAGTGTGTGTGCCATTTAAAATAATAAGTGACATGCATTCAACTAATCCAAAACTGTGGAAAAACACAAACCAATGGAGCATATAATAAAAACAAAAATTACATTACAACATCTGTAAGAACTACACTAAAAAATAAGCAAAACATCAACACTGCAGCAGGAAAATGGTGAGAAAACAAGATGATGAGTAATATGCTCAAACAAATATCTTTTATAAATGGATGATGACAAATGGAATGGCAGTGTCATATTTTAATTTGGAATTAATTCATTTTGAATACAGTGGAAAATAGAGTGTAACAGTTTTAGCAAGATAAACAGTTGCCTGATGATGGCTGGGTATGGCTGAAACATGCTGCAAAGAGGAATAAATGAAAAATAGAGTTACAATTGAGATAGAAGTATATTATGTTCATAAGTAAAAAATTGGTGCAATAGGATGCTGAAATATAGTACAATATCAAATGCATATGTTTTGTTACCTCAACTTAAATTTATAGCCAGTCCAATTTCAGGTATCAAAGAATACACTAGGTAATACACAAAATGATGTAATTTATTTCAATATTTAAGTAAGATCTAAAAGTCCTAAAAGTCATATCAATATTTAAAGTTTAATACATAAAGTTAGTGACCATCTATTATTTAAATTCATAATGTAATTATGAGCTGGCCCTTCCATGGCGATGCTGAGTGAACGATGACTAGTTTTTCTGTGAATCACAATTCCTGCATCTTGTAGGCAAATACCTGTTATTTCAAAATGCCACTTCACTGTAAATGGAAGACAATAAAATGATGAACATGTCTCTTTAAAAATGTTGTAACAACTTAATAAAATCTGTTACAATCTTATTAGGAAATCACTGACATTCAGTTTATCTTCAAGAAATTCATATCCAATTATTAATACAGCTCTTACTAAAACTATAACCTGGATTTACTGAAGTAAATTATTTGTAGGCTGTTACAATTGATGTCCCAGTTATTCAGTTTTAACTCACAAATCTCTTTCACTCCTCACAAGAACAAATATTTAGCTATGTAATAACTAAATTTTACATTGTTAGGAATTTTCATAGTCTTAGAGCTGAAATGGTTTAAATATTACACATTATAAGTACTTTTTATGATACCATCTTTATTTTGCACGTATGTTATTAGCAGTTTCTGCAGAATAAAAGTGTTATTTTTAATAATCTGATTCTGGAATCAATAGTCTAACCACATATTAGACACTGCTAAAAGCAGATGTATGCACATATAAAATATAATACAAGCAGTTTGTTTGCCTTGTCAAATATAACCAACAGTAACAGCCATAAGACTATGTAATACCCTATATTACATTTGAGAAATTGTCCATTAATGATTGCAAGTACAAATACTGTAACCAGACTTTAAGATGTCTTTAGATGAAATGAACATCAAAATGAGTTCACCTTCCTGTCTTTTTTTCTGGGGGGCAGGGTAAATTATACAAAACTCAAATGGTGTAGGACAATGGGCTTAATCTTAATTATTCTATGAAGGATACTACATAAAAAGACACAGGAAAGAAGCAAACTGGACTTGAAATCTAAATGGTACAGTACTGAATCACAGATAAAATATGCGTGACGAAAAACACATTAATTATTATGACAGTCATTATTAAACACAGTGATGAAATTCGTCCAAAAGACATAAAGGATATGTAGTACCCAGGACTCCTCTTTCATCTCAGCATGACATGACAAGAAAGAGGGGCAGAGGCTCATGAGTAACAGATGTGAGACGTGATGGTCAAGTTGTGGCATTCTTCAAACATCTGGAGATAAATGAACACAGTTAAAACCAGTAACAATGGAAGGGAACGAGGATGGTAACTACTATGTGAATATAACAGACATCTTGTCCCACAGATTTACTCTAAACTCTGGTCACTATTGCTTATAAAATCTGTATCAGAACCAATTTATTATTACATCAGTAACTGACCCGACAATAACTGAAGTAACCACATAATTGCATTTACAACAGTATTTAAGCAAGCAAATTGTGAACAAGATAATGTACATGAAGTCCTTTCATCCTCATAGGAGTTATCACTAGAAACCCCGACACAGAAAAACAATTTCTGGAATGTCTATTTTTCTTCTTGTGATATTTTATTGCTGACAGCTGTTGAAACGAAACCCATTTGGGGATTGTAAGATTTGAGGCTTTCACGGCGGTGACTATGAAGAAAGCAGTCTTCTGGGATTTGGCACCGTGTATATGTGGTGTTAACCGACGTTTCGGAGGAACGTATCGCCCCCATCTTCAGGGTTGAAGAAAAAGTATAAGTAAATCTGCAAGCGACAACACCGTGAGACACGGTCAGACAGTCTGTTCCTCCGAAACGTCGGTTAACACCACATATACACGGTGCCAAATCCCAGAAGACTGCTTTCTTCATTTGGGGATTATTCTGGAGAAAGGACTGGAAACCGTTATGAACAGTCCCATGAGTTCTGAGACAGGCAACACATTGACACAGCAGTAGATGGATTGTTTCTGCAAAGAACTCCCTGATCTGATGCTGGAACCACTGAATTACCTTGAGAAAGCCTAGAAACACACCTCTTCTGACATATAGCTTCATTTTGCTTTGGGTGGATGGATGGGGGTGGGGCAGAAAGGTCGCAGAAAGGCTCAAGAAAACACACCAGGCAGTAGAGATTAAGTAATGTAATATTAACCCTGAAATTAAAACAAAGAGCTGAAAACTACAGTTTTAAAGTACATGTTAACAGTGATCTCCAGCCATTTCTGCACACAACCGAGTCTGATGCATTAAGAAACAAAGAGCTGAAAACTACAGTTTTAAAGTACATGTTAACAGTGATCTCCAGCCATTTCTGCACACAACCGAGTCTGATGCATTAAGAAACAAAGAGCTGAAAACTACAGTTTTAAAGTACATGTTAACAGTGATCTCCAGCCATTTCTGCACACAACCGAGTCTGATGCATTAAGAAATGTCCTGAACTAAACTATAATGAAGATGAGAATTTTTTCAGCAGTGGAGTAACTATTAGCTTAAGAATGACTGCCTCGTGGAATTACACAGTTTGTGAATAATTTCCTAGTTGATTTCATCATTCTCCTTGGGTTAACAGGATAGGCACTTTAGAAAGACCACTATTACTTCCTTCCACACTCTTCATAACTTAACAGCCAATAAACCGTCTTTCTAGTTCCATAATCTCAGTGGCTTGAACAGTTTTTAAATATAGGTCTACTAAGAAATGAGGCATATATGTTTCTGAATCACGCAATAAAGCATAGCATATCACCCTTTCCATTCCTTCTGCTTTATGTTGTAATATGTTGGTATTTAGCCTACATAATATAGCATCAATTGACAGGACAAGTGATGAATGATGAAGTGGAAGGGATTTACAAGTAGCAGTCATGACCTGTTCTGACACTTCCTTAGGTGGAATGAGGAAAACCATGAATATCCGCAGTCAGGATAGCTGGTGTTCCAGATTCCAGAATATAGCTATGTAAATCTGTCCGTCGATCACAACAATTTTACACTTCCAATAAATAACTGATAAGCTTGAAGGCCAATAAAATCAGTTATTTTATTCAAATGTTATTTTTCGCTATATGTTTCGGTAATTTATGACCATCATCATGCATTTGTACACAGTAAAATGTATCTACGTTCATTACTGGGCTGCACATTGCAATGGATCCATTGCTATTAGTCTAGTCATGTACAAATTTTACACAGGATTACAATATTTAAATATATTGAAATACTTATCTAAATTAATAAAGCTTATTGTAAAATTATTTTTTAAATATTACCTATTATATGTGGGGGTTGGGGTTTATGGGTGGAATGGAGTAGGGAGAATGGTGTGTATCTGTATGTGTTTTCAAACTCTGTCCTTTATGGGGATGTTGGTGTTATATGACTGCACTCTTTTGTACTAACTGTCCATGTGTGTTGTTTTGGGTGAGAATGGGGTATTTCAAATTTTTTATCCTTTGGTATAATGTTGAATATTATGCAGGTATGCATTGTTAGTCTTGATGGCCTTAAGCTGTCCTGTTTTTTGGTGGTCTGTGCTTTTAGACAATCTGTAGTCGACTCGGTCATGTTCTCATTTGTTGTTCTATTCTGGTATGCTTTTACATATTGGGGTTTTGTTTATGCTGCTGTTTGCTGGTTTTTTTGGTTGAGGTGTAGTGTCATTGCTACTACTGATGTGGTGTTGTACTGTGTTGTGCTGTTTGGAATTGATAAGTTTAGAGCAATATCACAATACCAACCTGTTCTGTCATACCATCCTTTTTAAGAAGTTCAAAGTATAACTTAAATTTAAAAATACCTGAAATTCTCATTTCATAATGACAGGCAACTTACCAGTACACTACATGTTCTGTTGATCTTGGGCCATCTTCTGTTTGAATAATGCTGTCTCTTCAAAGATGTATTTCTTTAAAGTTTCTTTTGGCAAGTCATCTAACTCCATGGCAAATCGGAATGGTTCTTCAGCCACAGGCTTGAATGAAAAATCAGGCACTGTAGGCATATGTACACAAGTGACTGCAGCAGAGCAGCACATTTAATCCTTTTAGAATTGGAGTTATCAACAAACTTGCAAGATGAAGCTGACATTGTGATGTGATCTACATTGACTAGTAATTAAAGACTCCTGGTACTCATTTCTGTTAGAGGTTGTGTCGATCTCAGGGCCATAGTGCGACTGGAAGGATTTGGTAAACCGAAAAATATCCATCTCATCAAGATTTGAACTTGTGACCTTCCAGCTTGTAGCATAGCAACTCAGCCAACTATACTATCATGTGCCCCAATCTGAAGAGGTACTAAATTTTATAATTTTATTTTACTGGGGCAATCAATGCATAGATAGAAGCATAACATTAAAATGAAACAGGGCATGGACTGAATTCATCTAGTGGGTTCTTGTAAACATGACAGTGAACCTTCAGGATCCATTACAGGGAGGCTATTAGTATCTCTCAAGAAGGGGTCTCTGGAGTTAGTAAGTTAGTTTAGTTAGATGTAAAAGCAGCTGCAACTAGCTCTGAGAACATAATATTTCTTGAGATACCAACTACTGAAGAAGTTATGGCAACTTTATGGAACTCAAGTTTTTTTTTAACACTTTATATAAGCCTGTCACTGGACCCTCTCCTGTGCCCAGTGCCAAATCTGAGGCACTGTTCATCCTTGATAATTGGGTCTTTTACATTAACACACTGAACCAACCAACCACTTGATCTGATGTTCCTTATGGTTGTTAAATATGAGTTCTTACGCTGAGAAAGCAACATAAGTTGCTTAAGACTTTCATATAATCTTAAGAATAGAGTGTTACAGAAAATGTATGGACTTCTGGAGATCAATCAAAAGAGACCAATCAAATGGGGAATGGAGGTAAATGACTTTCTGTATAGGCAGAATAATTCAAGGAATATGCATTCAGTTGTACATGTAGTTCAGCTAAGGGAAGAAGAGGCCATGCCATAGCTCAAGCGGTTAGTCACTGGCTTCCCACCGTGGCGGCCTGGGTTCGATCCCAGGTCTGGTCAAGTGGGATTTGTGGTGGAGAAAGTGGCGCTGGGGCGGGTTTTCTCGAAGGACTTCGGTTTCCCTGCCAATCTTCATTCCACCAAATTCTCCATCATCATAATCACCCGGGGCAGGCTACAATAGGCCAATCAGTGGCCACCGCGCCGAGTGGACCCAGCTGGACCCCAACCCTCACTAAGCAAATTAAAAAAAAAAATGGAAGAAGAAGTGTTAGTTTTACCATGGCTCCTTGGAGGAGAAAGGATGAGATGAGAAAAATATATTAAGATGGATCTTAGAGTAAAAGGCTGAGACTCAGTCCTGAATCCAACACAAGACTACGGTTAGTGTGATGAATGGGTTCGGTGAGGCAGTTATTTTGCATCAGCAGTCAACAATTATAATCTCCAATCAGAAGACCAAAATATCAGTGTTTAATAATGTCTTAACAAATAAACTACTTCTCTCAGATACTGAATGTATATATGATCAGTGATGTTAGGAAGATACAAATATTTACAGCTGAAATGTTAGTACCTGATCCTAGTCCTCTTGAGGTTGAATTTGCTATTGCAAAGTTAAGAAAAGTATAAATTGCAAGGCAGTGATCAAATTCTGGCAGAATTAATTCAAGCAGGAGGTGAAATATTACTATCTGAACCCCATACTCATTAATTCGATTTTGAATAAGGAAGAATTGCATGATCAGCAGAAGGAGTATAGTATTGTACCAATTTAAAAGAAGGGCAATAAGACTGACTGTAGCAGTTATCATGGAATATCACTGTTATCAACATCATAAAAATGTTATCGAATATCCTTCTCTCAAGGTTAAGTCTATATACAGATGACATTATTGGGGATCATCAGTGTGGGTTTTGACATAACAGATCCACTACTAATCAGATATTTGCATTCATAAGATACTGGAGAAAAAATGGGAGTACAATGGGACAGTACAACAACTATTCCTAGACTTCCAGAAAGCCTATGATTCAGTTAGAAGGGAAGTATTGTACAATATTCTCATAGAGTTTGGGGTACCCATGAAACTAGTTAGGTTCATTAAAATGTGTTTAAATGAAATGTATAGTAAAGTCCGTATAGGTAAACATCTGTATGATAATTTTCCTATCAAAAATGGTCTAAAACAAGCAGATGCTTCATTGTCATTGCTCTTCAACTGCCTTAGAACATGTCACTGGGGTGGTCCAGGAAAACAAGGTAGGACTGAAATTAAATGGGATACATCAGCTGTAGGTCTATGCTGATGAAGTGAATCTACTGGGAGATAACACAGATACAATACAGGAAAACCCACAAACTTTAATCGACGCAAGTAAGGAGGTTGGTCTAGAAGTAAACACAAAGAAAAGTAAGCATATTTTTTTTTCTGTCTCGTCACCAAAATGCAGGGCAAAATCATGACATAAAGATAGGAAACAGATGTTTTGAAAATGTAGCACAGTTCAGATATTTGGGGACAACGATAATAAATCAAAACCTAATTCAGGAGGAAATTAAGAGGAGATTGAACTCGGGTAATGCTTGCTACCATTCAGTCCAGGACTTTTTGTCTTCTTGTCTGCTGTCTAAGAATGTAAAAATTAGAAAATACAAAACTATAATTTTGTCTCTGATTCTGTATGGATGTGAAACTTGGTCTCTGACATTAAGGGAAGAACACATATTGAGACTGTTTGAGAACAGGGTGCTGAGGACAATATTTGGACTGAAGAGGGATGAAGTGACAGGAGGTGGGAGAAAACTGCATCATGAAGAGCTTCATAACTTGCACTCTTGGCCAAATTTAATTAGAAAGATAAGTCAAGGAGAATTCGACGTCCGGGACATGTATCATGAATGGGGCAAAGAGGAATGCATATAGGATATTGGTAGGTTAGCCAGAAGGAAAGAGACCATTAGGAAGGTCAAGAAATAGGTGGGTGGATAATATTGAAATGGGTTTTAGAGAAACAGGATGGAGTTGTATTGACTGGACTGACCTGGCTCAATATAGGGACCAGTGGAGGGCCCTTGTGAACATGGTAATGAATTTATAGGTTTCACAAAATATTGGGAAGTTCTTAAGTAGCTCCACAGCTGGTGGCTTCTCAAGAAGGGCTCAGCTCCATGAAGTTAGTCAGTCAGTCAGTCAGTGAGTCTTAACAAATAATTTGAGATATTCATTGATCATAATGCATACATACCTCATCTGCAGGATCATAATACTGTTCAAGATAAGGATGTGCTAAGGCATCCTCTACTCCAATCCTTTTATGAGGGTTGAATGTTAACATTTTGTCCAACAAATCAAGTGCTTTTGAATCAGCATTTGGGAACATTTTTGTCCAAGGAACTTTGGGTTTAAATGGCAATGACTGGAGGTAACTTCGAGCTTTCTCATTGATGATACAGTTCAGATCTTCTGCAGTAGGAGAACCAAGGATTCCCAGAATATGGTTAAGCTGGTCTAAGTAATGTTTGCCAGGAAATATTGGCCGATTTGACAACATTTCTGCTAGGATACAGCCCACTGACCAGATATCTATGGATTTTGTATAGCCCTGAAAATAAAGCATAGTAAATTTTAGTAAGGCTGCCCAGTGGGTGAAGATAATGTGATTAGGATTCATTATAATGTAAAAGCTGTGCCACAGCATACACTATAAGCTTCTCCCATGGCAGGGAAAATAAAGCAGAACTGGGGAGGGGGAAAACACTGGCATGAAGTGACACCTAACATATCCTTGCCATAAATGTGCACATTTATCAGAAAACGAGTGAAAGGATCATTCCTTATCAGCTTCCTTAAAATGAACGTTATTGCAATAATGGAACTACTCACTTACTATGGCAGTCTTGAATGAATGTTACATCCTTTATGCATATACTATATCATTCAAATCACAGAAATATCTAAAATATAAGGTGATCCTCATTTTCAGGTATCATGGGAAAGAATATTTTAATAAAATGTGGGGGAATGACTATGAATTTTAAAGTAGAATTCTTAATAAAACACTCTGTAATAAGGCCAGTATGGTATATTCCAGTTGAGCAATATTCTATTATTGAGAAAAGTGTGCATTGCCTAAATTCTGAGAATACACATTTCTGTTGATACAAGAGAGGAAAGTGATCAAAAGTGTCTGCAAACTGTACTGAAATAATGAAACTGCTTATTTACTGTGATACCCCTAAGAACATAGATGGAATCTGGTGGTATAAAATTTAGTTATGGGTGCTTGGAAAATAGATGGTAACAGAAGGAATAACACCAACAAATTGAATTATAAGATTTGTTGAATAAATACACTAAAATTCTAAATTATGACAGAACAAAAATTAATACATAAATAACAAACAGCCATGTAGCACGGAATAATTTTGTACCAGTCATGAAAGAAGAATTCACCACTGAAATGTGCAATTCATCTGCCTATGAATTCACTAAGAGAGAAAAAATTTTGTGTAGTGACTATTTATAGGTCTCCGTCAGGTAATTTTATAAATTTTTTGGAGACACTAGATATGATTTTACATAAACTATACTGTGAGAGTTATAATATAATTATATGTGGTGATATAAATGTAAATTACTTAAATGATGATGATAATAGAAAAAAAGCAATTACATGCTATTTTGTATTCCTATAATTTTATTAGTATTGTAATATTTCCCAATAGAGTGGGCATGTCCACTAGTACTATAACTGACAACACTTTTATTGACACAACAAGAACTGGTAAATATGATATATATCCATCTATAAACAGTCTATCAGATTATGATGCCCAGGTGTTAATACTACATAAAGTACAGAATCAGGGACAACAACAATATACTTACATGAAACGGATGATTAATAATGATATCATAGCAAATTTTCAATTACAATTAAGACAGGAAACATGAGAATCAGTCTTTGATGAAAATAATGTTAACAAGAGATTCAATTTATTTTTAAATATATTTTTGAGAACTTATTATTTCAGTTTCCCTTTAATTCAGAAAAAATGTATCTGAAAAAATAATTCGTGGACCACACCAGGAATAATAATAATCCTAATTTTAGAGTTTATTACAGAAATTATTCTAAAATAATGAGTACTGTTATAAAAAAGGCAAAAAGAATGGAGTATGATAAATGTATCCTACATTCCCATTATAAAATAAAAACTACTTGGAGTATTATAAAGAAAGGAGTAGGTAGGAATACAAGTAGGATAGAAATAAATACAGTAAAAATTGATGGTAAGATACTAAATAATCAACAAGATATTGCAGGAGAGTTTAATAAATATTTTGCCAATGTTGCCAATAAAATAGACATATTCCATATCTACGAATGACTAAAAAAAATGAAGAAAATCATATTTATTATGTGGATCAAGCCTTTATAAATTCATACTCAAAAATAAACTGCAAATGCTCTACAAATAAGGAAATAGAGAATACAATAAAATCTCTTAAATTAAAAAAACTAGTGTGGATATGATGAGATATCACCCATTAGTTTAAAAATAAGTTCACCACTTATAATTTCACTGATAAAACTATATATGCAATAAAATGTTAAATGGAGGAGTTTTCCTGATATTATCCTGATATTAGCCATTACTTGTAGGTTGTTAAATAAACCAGTTAACAATCCGAACGGCGTCTTCAGTAACAGAACATGTTACAACTGGTGTCAGAAGTGGGATTCCAACTTACACACGTGACGGACAAGATTCAGTAACAAAACATGTTATAATATATACAAGAACTTTAGAACATCTTCATAAGTATAATATCACAAGTACTGACCAATATGGATTTAGGAAGGGATTAAAGCAGATAATGCAATTTACAAAATGACTACAGAGATTTTAAATACTATGAACAACAAACAATTAGTGGCAGGTGCTTTTTGTGATCTGGAGAAAGCCTTTGACTGTGTAGATCATGATATCTTGCTGTCCAAACTTAAATTTTATGGCATTACTGGGAAAGATCATGCACTTTATGAATCTTATTTAAGTAACAGATATATTACAACAGTGATGCATAAAAGTGATGTGAATACAGGATCCTCAGATTGGCTTAGTGTTACACAGGAAGTGCCGCAAGGGTCTGTATTAGGACCTTTGTTGTTTCTCTTATATACAAATTGCTTGCCTAATATATTAAATAAATTTTCTACACCTATAATTTTTGCTGATGATACCAGCATCTTATTTTCATATTCTAATATAAATGATCTTAGCAGGAATATTCTTATAACAATTGAAATCTTAATGGATGGTTTAGAGCTAATAAATTATCTTTAAATTTTAATAGGATATTGTATTCACTTTAAAACTAAGACAATAATGTCAGATACTTTTACAATAAATGGTAATAAGTTTATCAACAGTATCCTCATTACTAAATTCTTGGGAGTTATAGTTGATAGTGCCTTAATATGGAAGAATCACACTGATTTACTTGTAAAAAAAATTAAGGTTTGTTACGTAATTACGATGGTCGTACTGAAAGTCAAGAGCAACAATTTTTTATTAAGTAACATGCTTTATTTTTCCACATAATCACCACTTCTTTGTACACATTTCTCCCAGCGTTCTGGGAGTTTGAAAAGTCCCCTTCTGTAAAATTCCGTTCCAGCCATCCGAAGAAACTGACGCACTGCTTTCTGAATTTCCTCCCTTGCCTCATAACGTTGTCCACACAGCTGATCCTTCACAAATCCAAAAAGATGGTAGTCGGAGGGTGCCAGATCAGGGCTATAGGAGGGGTGTTGAAGAACTTCCCACCTCATCTTTGCAATTGCTTCCAATGTGAGGGGAGCGGCATGGGGACTAGCGTTGTCATGCAGGATTATGATGTTTCATCCAGGACGTTTATCGACAATGCACGATGGAGCTTGTGCAGCGTCTGGACATAACGAGCAGCATTGATGGTTTGCCCAGGTCCCAGGAATTCAGCCGGAATAAACCCCTCTGCATCCCAGAAGACTGTGCCCATCACCTTCGCAGCTGATGGCACTGTCGTTGTCTTCTTTTTTGATGGAGAATGCAAATGGTGCCATTCCATACTCTGCCGTTTCATTTCAGGCTCAAAATGGTGAAACCAGCTTTCGTCACCTGTCACAATACAGAGCAAAAAAATCATCGCCTTCGTGTTGATATCTCTGCAGCAGTTCTGAGGTGATGGCTTTTCGCTGACCTTTGTGGTCTTCGGTCAATAACCGAGGGACCCAAGGAGCACAAACTTTCCTATAGCCCAAGCTTTCAATCATCTCCTATACTGCACTGTGCCCTGTTCTAAGTTTTCGGGCTATTGTGTCCACAGTCACATGCCTGTCATCTTCAATGATCTCATCCACTCTTTCCTTGTTGCATTCAGTTGAGGCTGTTCGAGGACGACCGCTCTGAGGCTCATCTTTGATACTGGTGTTCCCATCTTTAAAATCTTTCACCCATCTTCGAACACTGTTCACACCCATGCACACACTTCCATAGCACGCTGAAGTCTCTGGTGAATTTCTGCAGCAGGGATTTCCTCTTTCACAAGAAATTCGATGACAGCACGCTGGTGAAATGACATATCGTTGTAGGCCATTTTGTTAGGAGTGATACTGGTCACGTGATGCAAGCTACTGACATCACAAGACACTCAAGGTTAACACAACAGCTGGTTCCACCTACCACCGAACTCTCTTTCGTCTGCTGTTCCCAGGTTGCATGCAAAAAAAGTTGCTCATGACTTTCGGTATGACCTACATAGAAATATGAAATATTATATGTCTATTTCAGCTTTAAAGGTAATCTATTTTTACTTTCTTCACTCCTTAACGAGCTATGGTATCATCTTTTGGGGAAACTCATCTCATAGTTCTACTATTTTTCTTCTCCAAAAAAAAAAAAAAGGCCATCAGTTCGAAGTTGGGATATGGTAATAGAGTTTCGTGTAGAAACACATTTAACAAGTTAAATATTTTATCATTTGCATCACAACATATATTTTCGTTGTTAGTATTTGTATTGCTAAATACAGTTCTGTTTCCATCAAACATTGATTCTCATGCTATTGATACTAGACAAAGACAAAATTTGTATCTAGCTCAAGCTAATTTATCAAAAAGGAGTTTATTATGCAGGTATAAAAATATTCAATAAATTGCCCATAGAGATCAAGAACACATCTAATAATTTTAAAAGTTTAAGGTTGTATTAAGGCATTTCTTGAATACTCATACATTTTATATGATGGATGAATATCTAAATAGATATTCTTATTACTGTTGTATTCATTGTACTGTCTAGTTATGTAATATTTATGTATGTATTCTATGCTCTATATTATTTTATGACATATTCTATATCCATCTTTGGTTCTCTTGAACTTAGAATAAATACAAATACAGGCTTATGGTATCCTCATGTGTGCGTGCACATCTGTTTGTTCCACCTTAGTTACATCAGAAGGCCAATTACTTCCCATAAAACATGATATGAACCTCATGACACTAGAGGTGGAGTACCTTTGTTCTCCCTGACTGCCTACCATCAGTAACACTGCAGTCATAGTACGGAGATTGTGAAATTTTGTACAGCACTAGATCTTCAAAGAATATGGAACTTATGTTAAGAACAGACATTTTTAACATTTTAAAAAGAGCACCCTGAAATAAAGTTTATCCTTGTAACAAGAGAATTTATTTTGTACAATTATTAAAACTTCTTGGAGGATGAAATGTTTTTAATATTGTAAGGTTTGCTGTACATCTAAAATGTTTACATTGAATTGAACCACTGATGGTTCTTTATTATAGTGGCAACATGAATCAAAATTAAATTTTACATTTAGTGCAGACCCCTGATACCAAATTTAACTGAAGCCAATCAAACATTTTTGGTGATAACACCTGCAGCAACGGACACAACTTCGGCATTATGCATCTAATTTAGGTACTCTGCAGAATAACACATTATAAATATGTTGGAATGAAGACTGAAGCACCTTTTAACATCAAGTTCCATACCTTGGAATTCAACATAATTTCAGGAGCCCGATACCACCTTGTGGCTACATACTCCGTGAGGAAACCTGTGTGATCATGTTCAGGATCTGCGACCCTTGCCAAACCGAAGTCACATATCTGAAACATACAGAATTTATCTTCTCACACATTGAATCACACCAGCTACAATACGTGATCAACAAAAGATAAATTAATTCTTTGCCTGAAGAAAAACATGTATAAATAACACAGTCTATCAAGTATTCTACATATACAAGGGTCAAACACAATTTCACATTTCAAACTTTCATAATAACTGTAATAAAAATAGCCATCTCTTATAAACATTCAACATTATCAATTATTTTGGCCAAATACATTTTATTCAATATGACTATACCAATAATATTAAAAATATACTCTGATATTTGTACTCAAATGTAAAACTATTTTTCATATATTTTTATCTTGACTTGTTTCAGCATTATAAACCTAGCAAACGTCATGATATACCAATTGCTACTCACTTTATAACCACATCAGAAACAAAATGGTGAACACTGTGAGTTGTGTTATTATACACTAAGAAATAGACCATTCTTCTAACATAGCATAATTTATCACATGCATTATAATGAGTTTAGAAATAAACAATAATAGCACTTTCACATAAGTTAAATTTATTATAATGAAACACAAACATTATTTCAAATGGCTAAGACCAATTTAAGTCATTGCACATAAAAGTGAAACCAATATTCATGATAATCTACTCCCTTTCCAAATGAAAATTCTGCTGATAATCACCATGGATTCAAATGTAACAGATCAACTACTGCTGAAACCACTGTCTTTTATGCAAGTGTTTACCAGGATGCTTAGTCCTAGCCTCAAGGTCAAAACACATAATGAACTGGCAGATGTGCTACTTTGGATTTCTGACAAGTTTGCTGATACACTTAAATCATATGCTGGTATGCATACCAACTGACATAGCATTGGGTAAAGCTAAATATATTTCACACAGGTACTATAGAAAAAAATAGCAAAGTGCTAATGGTCAGTATGGGGGCACATGGTAGCATAGTTGGTTGAGGGGCTATGCTACAAGCTGGAAGGTCACGGGTTCAAGTCCCGATGAGGTCAATGGATTTTTTTCAATTGACCTAATCCTTCCAGCCGCACTATGGCCCTGGGGTTCACTCAGCCTCTAAAAGAAATGAGTACCAGGAATTAATTAAATAATTTTACTGGGGAGTAAAGCGCGGCTGGTGCGTAAGGCTGAAAACCTTACTGCCATCATTGAGCCAATTGTCTAGATAATGTGGGACCCTCAACGTCTCACAACCCTATGGGCCTTCACGGCCTGGTACGGGGATAGCTTTACTCTTTTTACTTTTACATATGGTCAGTACCGCCATTTAAAAGTTCGTATAGGCAAATATTTGCCTCATGAATTTGAAATTCATAATGTACTTAAGAAAAATGGGGCTTAACACCCATTGCCTTTTACAAGGGTCATACTGAAAATCATGAGCACAAATTTTTGTAAAGTAACAAGCTTTATTATTGACAAACAAAATACACCACCTCAATCTACAGACCTTTCTTTATTTTTCCACATAATCACCACTTCTTTGTACACATTTCTCCCAGCGTTCTGGGAGTTTGAAAATTCCCCTTCTGTAAAATTTCATTCCAGCCATCCGAAGACACTGACGCACTGCTTTTTGAATTTCCTCCCTTGTCTCAAAACGATGTCCATGCAGCTGATCCTTCACAAATCCGAAAAGATGGTAGTTGGAGGGTGCCAGATCAGGGCTATAGGAGGGGTGTTAAAGAACTTCCCACCTCATCTTTGCAATTGCTTCCAATGTGAGGCGAGCTGCATGGGGGCGAGCGTTGTCATGCAGGATTATGTTTCATCCCAGACCTTTATCGCACAATGCACAATGGAGCTTGTGCAGCATCTGGACATAATGAGCAGCACTGATGGTTTGCCCAGGTTCCGGGAATTTGGCCAGAATAAACCCCTCTGCATCCTAGAAGACTGTGCCCATCACCTTCGCAGCTGATGGCATTGTCGTTGCCTTCTTTTTTGATGGAGAATGCAAATGGTGCCATTCCATACTCTGCCGTTTCGTTTCAGGCTCGAAATGGTGAAACCAGCTTTCGTCACCTGTCACAATACAGAGCAAAAAATCATCGCCTTTGTGTTGATATCTATGCAGCAGTTCTGAGGTGATGGCTTTTCGCTGAACTTTGTGGTCTTCGGTCAATAACCGAGGGACCCAACAAGCACAAACTTTCCTATAGCCCAAGTTTTCAATCATCTCCTGTACTGCACTGTGCCCTATTCCAAGTTTTCGGGCTATTGTGTCCACAGTCACATGCCTGTCATTTTCAATGATCTCATCCACTCTTTCCTTGTTGCGTTCAGTTGAGGTTGTTCGAGGACGACCGCTCCGTGGCTCATCTTTGATGCTGGTGTTGCCATCTTTAAAATGTTACACCCATCTTTGAACACTGTTCGCACCCATGCACACACTTCCATAAGCACGCTGAAGTCTCTGGTGAATTTCTGCAGCAGGGATTTCCTCTTTCACAAGAAATTCAATGACAGCACGCTGGCGAAACGACATATGGTTGTCAGCCATTTTGTTAGGAGTGATACTGGTCACGTGACGCAAGCTATTGATGTCACAAGACACTCGAGGTTAACACAACAGCTGGTTCCACCTACCACCGTACTCTCTTCCATCTGCTGTTCCCACGTTGCATGCAAAAAAAAGTTGCTCATGACTTTCGGTATGACCTACATAACTGTTCTCTGGAGTATGCCAACAGGAATGATCAAGAGAAGTGAATCAACAAGCGTGGAAACCAAATTACTAAAATCATGTGCTTTAATAGAAATGAGTACCAGGAATCTTCCCAGGGGTATAGGGTGGCTAGTGTGTAAGGCTGACAACCTCACTGCCATCTCTGATCCAATTGTCAGAAGATGTAGGAGCCTCAACGTCTCACACACACTATGGGCCTCCATGGCCTGCTACAGGGATAGCTTTACTTTTACCTTTACTTGAATATGCAGACAATGTTAACCTGCTAAGGAGAGAATATAAATGCCATATAGAGTAAAATGGAATATATTCAGAGACCAGAAAAGAAACAGGGACAGAAATTCATAGGTGAAACTTAAATATGACTATGTCACAAAACCAGATTCTGCAGAAATCAGATGTGAGAATGTTTCAAAGTTGATATATCGAGAAATATGATAATGAACACACAAACAGATATTTATAATGTTGTTTTTTGAGTTGTGATATCATACAGTCTCATAGGTGAATACAAATGTGTAGGAGGAACTTGCTGCCTCCATCTTCAGGGCTGCAGAGTCTATGGCACTGATGATGCAAGCAACAAGTTCCTCTGAAACACTAGTATTCATCTGCAAGACTGTTCAGTGTTAATGGTTTCTAGATGTAACTAGGGATGTCCAGTGGTGATTAGCAGTGTTACACCTTCAAGTTCTCTTATTAGAACGTTAATTAAGAAATTGGAAAGAGAACGTTCCATGTATCATGAATATCAGTGTACTGGTTTCCTAAACACCACTGCAGGATGCATTACAACCTGCCATTCATGACAACCATTCCAGAATATGAGCAACTGAGACACTGATATACTACATAGACATGACACAAGCCTGAAACTAGAACATCTACAATTAATTTACTGCATGTTTATAAATATTTATGGGTAAATCAGCATTAATTATAAATAATGTGTGTGTGTGACTACTTGTTGCTGTGCTTTTTTTTGTGTAATTATTTCTATAAGTGCTATAAATTAATTAATATGAGGGTAAGTCAATAAGTAAGTTATAAATGGATATTGAACTTCAACAAATAAGAGTACTGATTTGAAAAATGCTTTTATTTCTCAACATAATCTCTCTGTACATTGAGGCACTTGTCCCATTGTTTCATAAGCCCCTGAAAACCAGCAGCATAAAATTCTTTGGGCTGCTGTTGGAACCAGGTGGTGACTTCCCGTTCTACACCTTCACTGACAGGAAAATGTTCAGCCGAAAGATGATGTTGAAGAGGGCCAAACAAAAGGAAGTCACTTGGAGCAAGGTTGGAACTATACAGAGGATGCTCGAGGACTTCCCACTTGAAATTTTGCAGTGTCTTATTTGTCTTGTTGGCAGTATGGGGACGTGCATTGTCGTGCAAGAGCAACACGCCTGGTTCCAACAGCAGCCCAAAGAATTTTATGCTGCTGGTTTTCAGGGGCTTGTGAAACAATGGGACAAGTGCCTCAATGTACAAAGAGCTTGTGTTGAAAAATAAAAGCATTTTTCAAATCAGTATTGTTCAAGTTCTATATCCATTTGTGTATCTTACTTATCGACTTACATATGTATTAACAACAAACATGTACAGTAATTATCAACTCATATAAATCTGAACTGAAATCATCTTGAGCAAAACCCAACGTGCATGTAGATGGTTGACTGTTGACCACTTACATGCGTCAACACTCAAAACAATCCATATTGCCATGGTAACTGTATGCTAATTCCTGATTAGCATATGACATTTTGTTCAGGCTTGAAAGGCTGTTAAACAACAAAAATTGGACTCTACTGTGACTAGCTGACAGAAGACAAGTTCATAACAGTCAGTGTATTTATGGTAAGAACTGAGAAAAATAATCTCTAGCAAAAACCTGAACCAACATTAAAAATTACGGCTAACAGTTAAGTGTAATCTGTAACTACATCAGTGCCCTTCCAGTCACATCACTCTTTACACCAAATGCACTTTGTTAGCACAGTTGGAAGGCATTAAATAATACTACAATAACATGCTACTGTTGAGTAATGTCTGGTATGTCAATCCACAAATTTTCAACACAGAACAGAGAAATGTGTTAACTAAATTTTTTAACAAGGGTGATATCATTCTTGTTCTAACATTTTGTTTGGGCAATATTAATTTATATTCAATTCTTGCATATTTTTAGAAGTGGATTTAATATTATAAGAGATATATGACAAAGACTACCATCTTCTGGAATGTGACTCGTCTGAAACACTGGCAAATAAATACCAAACTACAAGGTGT